CCTCTCTGGTTCTGACAAAGATCACAAAGATAAAGGAAATCACAGAAACCTATCCTGGGAAGCCTGTTACCACGGCTGTAGTCACCATGCAGGCTGACTTCAGTGACTCTCAATGATGGACAATTAAAGATGATGAACTACTGCTGGCCTTAATGTGCTTAGAATTATCAATGAACCGGCTGCTGCTGCTATTGATTGTAGCTCCAACAGGAAGGTTGGAGCTGAGAAGAATGTGCTGGCCTTTCCTTTGGGGGTGGTATGTTTGATGTGTCAGTCCTCACTGTTAACAATGGAATGTTTGAAGTCAAATTTACAGATGGAAATATATACTTGAGTGGAGAAGACTGACAACAAAATGGTCAACCATTTTATTGCTGAGTTTAAACAGAAGAACAAGAAGGACATCAGTGAGATCAGAGATCAGTGAGATCAGAGATCTATACACTGCTTGTGCATGGCTAAGTGTACCCTCTTCTCCAGCACCCAGGCCAGTACTGAGGTTGAGTCTCTCTGTGAGGGAATTGACTTCTATACCTCCATTACCCAAGCTGGGTTTGAAGAATTGACTTTGAACCTACTCCATGGCACCATGGATCCTGTAGAAAAGGCCTTCAAGGTGCCAAACTAGACAAGTCAAAGATCCATGATATTGTCCTGGTGGGTGGTTCTATCAGAATCCCTAAGATTCAGAAGCCTCTGCAAGACTGCTTCAGTGTAAAAGAACCGACTATGAGCATTAGCCCTGATGAAGCTGTTGCTTACAGTGCAGCTGTCCAGGAGGTCATTTGTTGTTTTTGAACTACCCTTATTATCCTAGGATTGTTTGGCATCAAATACTAAACACAACTGTTTTACCAGTATATAAATTAAATATACTTTAGACATTTATCTTGAGAAAGAGAAAGTTCTCATACTCCTTTGAAAAGGGGCCTGCCTGTCAGGAGCTCCCTCATGTTGGTTCTAAAGCATGGCCGGGGTTCTGGAAAGCCATTAGGGAGTACCGGCCACTCAGATCAGTGGTCTCTGCTGCGACACTGGCCATCCAAGTCACACCCAGCTTCTCCACCCCACTGCTTCTCCCCAGAGCTCCTGGTTCCTCTGACTCTGGCACCTGCCTTCTGAGCTCCGCTGCCCTCCCAGGTCCCCTCTCACTTGCTTGGCCAACTGCCACTTCCTCACCGCCCCTCCCCCATGCTTGCTTTCTTGCCAACCTTCCATCACGCTGCTTCTTAACTAGGAGGCATGTGTCACTTGCCTGCTTAAAATGCTTCGGCTAAGTCTCTCTGCCCTGAAAAGAAAGTCGGTGCTCCCAGGCATCGATTTTCGTGTAGCCAGCTCCTCAGGACCCCTGCCCTTCTCTTGACCTCCCAACAGCCACGCATCCCTCCTCTACTCCTGACTGCTTAAATGACATGAAATTTCCTGCCTTGTCCTGGTCTCCCCAAGTAGCATGTGCCCAGAGTGCTCTCCCTGTGTCTCCCCCTTCCCTTCTGTCACATCCGCCCAGCTGGCTGGCCGCCCTTACAGTTTACAGCAGCCCCAACGTGCCTTGGGCTGCAGGCCGGCCCAGCAGGTGAAAGCTCTTGCTGTCAAACCTGATGCCCAGGGCCCACATGATGGAAGAAGAGACAACTGACTCCCGCACATTGTCCTTTGATTTCTACATTTGTGCTGTGGCTCGCATAAGTTCCCTTCCCCCAAATAAATAGATAGATAGATAGATAGATAGATAGATAGATAGATAGATAGATAGATGTAATAAAATAAAACAGAACAAAAGCCTACTACGTTCCCAAGAGCCCCTACCCACTGTGCCAGAGTCTCCGCACCGGGGTTCATATCCATACGTGCTGTCTTTGAACTGCTTTCTTCTTTGTAAGTCTCCTTCATGAGCAGGCAGCTCTTTGAGCTCAGGGGCTTGTTATCTTGCTTCCCTGAACTACCTCCTGTTACCCACAAATACCAAGTTCCAGGAAAGCCCCTGGTTCCTATTGTGAACAGAAGAAAGCAGCGAACAGATTTACGATCAGGGAGCATCCTGGGAAGGCACTGCCGAGCCCACAGACTCACGTGAAAACTTGCAGCTTTGTTCAGATCATAAAACAGGAAAAGATTCCAATGAGCCTCCACTGAGCACAGGCCGCTCTGTTTGACACATGAATGTGACCTAAGAGATACTGTTTAGAAAGGGCCAAAGACTAACCAAAGTTGAAATGCACACTGTGTTGAGATGCCGAGGGCCACTCATAAAGAGGCACTCATTTTGGTGTTTTGATAGAGATTTATCATACTGAGTTATTTGGCTTTTTAAGGAACTGTGAAGATCATATAAATCATTTTTCACTGTACAAGTATTTACTAGTTCTCTCTCAGGTCCCCTGTCCCTGGGATTCCCCAGAGTTTATATCACCCTGGTCCCGAGAAACAAGTCAGGCATGAAATATGTCTGTTCTGTAGGTGAGTAAACCGAGGCTCAAGGAAGTGAGCTGAGCTGTGCATCTATCTGATGGACTCGGGATCTGAACCAGTGCTACCTCAGGGGTGTCGGGTGCTCACATGTTTGCTGAACTGAGAAGAGATTTCTAAATCTCTTAGTTCAGAGGTCATTGTTGGTGGCTTTTAAGAAATGATTTGGACAGGTGAGTGTGGCAGCTGGTAAAGACCAATTGGCAATTGTGGTGAAGAGTTTGGGCTGGTAAGCAACACTTTCAGACATTTGACAGTAAAGAGAAGGATCAGCAGAACAGTGGCTTGAGGGAAAAAAAGACTTTGGTAAGGCTAGAATTTATAAGGATGATTATAAACTGGACCCAACAGGAAATAAAACAAAACAAAAACCCAAGCCCTTAAAAACTAGACAGAGAAGGGGTAGAGAGTTGGCTCAGTGGTTAAAAGCATTTGTTGGCCTGACAAAGGACCCAGGTTCGATTCCCAGCACCACATAGAAGATCACCACCTCCATGGGCACCAGGCATGCATGTGGTACACAGACACACATGCGGACAGAACATACATATTCATAAAATAATGAAAATAAATGAATCTAAAAAAGAACTAAAGAGAGAAAGCAATAAGTTGTAATATAAAAGCTGGGAGGTGGTGGCGCACGCCTTTAATTCCAGCACTTGGGAGGCAGAGTCAGGCAGATCTCTGTGATTTCAAGGCCAGCCTGGGCTACAGAGTGAGTTCCAGGACAGCCAAGGCAGATACACAGATAAGCCCTGTCTGAACACACACACACACACACACACACACACACACACACACACACACACTTAAAACACAGGAGCCACAAACACAAATACATAGAGCACACAGTGGACTTTAGAGCAAACAGTTCTGAGTTCAAATGCTGCCCCTGCTTCTTGCTGTTAGATGTTAGTTCTCTAGGTCTCCAATCTCTGAAATAATTTAAATGATTTCTGGGTTGAGTTTGGATAAAATGCTCTGTACTTGCTGGCAGGGTATTTACAAAAGTCCCTCTTCATTTCCTGCCCTACTCAAAATTAAAATTGCCTGATAAATTATGTGCAATCATGAGGCATACTAAAAACAATTCCTTGTTTATCTAAAATCTGAATTGGCTGAGCATGGGATTTGTGTTTTTCCTACATCTCCACTCTACCAGACTTCCCCCAAATACCTCTGCTCCCATGAACCATGATAAAACTTAACAGGCCTCAGGGAAGATGTGAAATGATGTGTGGTGCTGCCCCCTACTGGTATGTTGTGGCAACACCATCCACCTTAATAGAAGTGTGTCACCTGTACAGTGGGTTTCTTAATAGAACGTCAGGTCATAGACAACATAGCTAAGTGGAATTTGGTTACCTCAACCCCTTTAGTCTAAACTTCTGATAACTAGCTCCCACTAACATAAAATGCATTCATCCTCAGTGATGTGGCCTTACAACTTTTCTTTGTGTTTTAAGACACGGCCTTGCTATGCAGTCCTGGCCGGCCCAGAACTCACTGTAGACACCAAATTGGCCTCGAACTCATAGCAATCCTCCAGGTTCATCCTTCCAAGGGATGGGATTACAGATAAGTGTCACCACACCTGGCTGGCTTTACACTTTTTAGTTAGGGTGAGTAAAAATATGTGTATATTTAGGACTTAAAATTGTATTGGATTTCAATGTGCTATGTGTACCTCTCTAAAATTATACATTTTCACTTAACAAAACCACGTTAAGGCCATCATCAGTATGTTCATGTTCTTTTGTTATGACAGAAGTACATTGTGTGCCTTAAGTGGTATTACATGCAAATACATGAAGAATTGGTATGTAATCAGTGTTTGGTAAGGTCACTGACTTTTGCTATTATGTATATATGCTCACACATATATATACACATATACACACATACACACATACACACATATTATTTTAGCATGGTGTTGTTACAGAAGAACTTGGTAGGGTGGTGCAAAGATCTCCCTAATAGTGAGGAGGACACAGAGGCTTCTCAAGGCAACCCCTGGCAGTGGAAAAAATGCCACAGCTCTCTCAGGAACTGCTCTCTGCATCCCGTGTTTGCAGCTGAATGGTCTGTGTCTGGAAACTGACCTGCACATCTTCCCCTCACTCCCCAAGGTCTCCTGGACCTTGATAATGATATCTGTACCCGCCATTCTTCACTGGTTGGTTTTGGGAGTTACCTATATCGAATTGGCCAGAGAGATGGATGTTCTTCAAACAGCACACCTCTGAAATGCTAGCCCAAGCTGCTCAGTGCACAACTCAGTACTGAAGCTGAGAAGCCCGGGCTGGCCAGGAGAGGAAGTCCACTGACTGCCTCAGGCTCTCGGGTGCAGTATCTGAACACCTGGGAGCAGGAACAGGGGCCAATGATTGTTCCAGGTCAGCATCTCTCACCTTGGGAAGTTTCCTAAGGGAACGAACTCAGGGCTGGTACCCATCTCTTTCCACACTGGATCATGATCATTTATATTTTTAACTGTTGTCAAAAGCAAATTCTTTGGGTTTTACATAACTATGCCTCTTGGTTTAGAAATGGAATGGAAGTCGAGTATGAAAGAAAGTGACTGGTTCCTGAAGAAGCCGTGCAGGAAGGCTGCGGACAGGTGTCTCGACTTCAACACCTGCGGATTAACAGCAGCAACCGCGAAGGAAGCAGGTCTGTATGATGCTGCTTTGTATGAGAATGTAAGGCCTTTTCATCAAGAGCAGTCAAAACACACATAGTGACCCACGCAGCACACTGAGGTCTCTCACATAGTGACCCACGCGGCACACTGAGGTCTCTCACATAGTGACCCACGCGGCACACTGAGGTCTCTCACATAGTGACCCACGTGGCACACTGAGGTCTCTCACATAGTGACCCACACGGCACACTGAGGTCTCTCGCATAGTGACCCACACGGCACACTGAGGTCTCTCGCATAGTGACCCACACGGCACACTGAGGTCTCTCGCATAGTGACCCACACGGCACACTGAGGTCTCTCGCATAGTGACCCACGTGGCACACTGAGGTCTCTCACGTGGTCTCAGAAAACAGCAAAACACTGTTTATTTAGAAAGCAAACAAACTCATGCTAAGGACTGTGATATAGCTTAGTTAAGAGAGCATTTATCTAGCTTTCTTGAAGCCCTGATTTCCACCCTAGCTCCGCACGCACCTGTAGTTCCAGCTCTTGGGAGGTGGTGGCAAAGGAGAAGTTCAAGGTCATCTTTGGCTCTTCAGGAAGTTTCAAGCCAGCCTGGGATCTATTAACTCACTATTGTGAAACAAAACAGAACAAACTACCTTATAGTCTAATGAGAATCAAGGTTGGTTTGTTGGTTTTGAAAGTACTGAAGTTGTTGGGGTTGTTTCTTGTTTTACTGCAAAAGGTATTTGCTGGGGGATGTCTTTCTGTACACTGTGAATATATGTTGTTCCCGTTGGTTAATAAATAAGCTGCTTTGGCCTAGGGCAAGGCAGCTTAGAGGCAGGCAGGAAGTCCAAGGAGAGAGACAGGAAAGAAGAAAGGCAGTGGCAGAGAGTCATGAGCCCGCTGCTGGAAGAACAAGATGTCAGCAGATGGGTAACGCCACGGCCACGTGGCAACATATAGATTTATAGAAATGGGTTGATTAAGATGAAGGAGTAGATGGCAAGCGGCTAAAGCCATAGGCCACACAGTTTGTAAATAATATTAAGCCTCTGAATGATTATTTTATAAGTGGCTGAAGGACCTCAGGGCCGGGTGGGACTGGAGGAACTTGGGACCTGGAGAAAACACATGGCTACAGGTAATGATATCTTTGAACAAATAAAAGCTTTCTGTGGGTGGTTCCCTTTAAAAAAAATTGGTCCTTCCTAAAGCTTCTCAGATGTGAGTTGAGCTGAGGAGATCAATTCATTTCTTTTCTTCCTGAGCAATTTTACCTATGTAGTGATTGCTTCTTGCTCTTTGAGATAAATCTGTTCCCCAAAATGATCAACTCACCAGATACTGCAGAGAAGTTAAGGGCATTGCCTTGTTGATTGACAAAAAGCATAACTCCCAGCAACCACTGCTTACCTCTTGTACAAACAAAAGTAACCACGTTTGCTGCCATAGCATACCCAGGGTTGCCAGGAGCCCTCCTCCCATGTCACTCCTGTATTCTGCTTCTCAGATACCTTAAAATAAGCCCCTGATGAGACTGTGTGTGTCTGCCAATAGAGAGATGCCAAAACTGCACCTGAATTAGGTGTCCTCTCTTGTGGGATATTAGTTGAGGATGTGTTACATTTGTTTATGCTGTGGAATATTTGTTTAATGATGCAAAGCTGTGTTGCATTTGTTTGTCTCTTTGAAGCTGTGTTACTTTGCCTGTGTAAAACACTGTCTAATAAAGAGCTGAACGGCCAATAGCTAGGAAGGGGCTGCCAAACAGAGAGAATAAATAGAAGGAAAAAAGAGAAGGAGGAGGAGGAGGAGAGAGAGAAAAGGAGGAGAGGAGAATGCCAGGGGCCACACAGCCACACAGCCAGACACGGAGTAAGAAGGAAAGAAAAGATATATAGAAATAGAGAAAGGGAAAAACCCAGAGGCAAAAAGTAGATGGGATAACTTAACTTAAGAAAAGCTGGGTAGAAACAAGCCAAGCTAAGGCTGGGCATTTGTAAGTATAATAAGTCTCTGTGTGATTGTTGTGAGCTGGGTGGTGGGTCCTCAAAGAGCCAAAGTGTAGACAGAAGTTTCTGTTCTGCCAGTAATTCCCAAATACCCGGCAGCAGCTTCCAAAATAATTGATTTGGAGACTTAATATTACTTAAAAACGCTTAGCCGGTAGCTCAGGCTTATTACTGACTAGCTCTTACACTTAAATTAACACATACTTCTTATCTATGTTTAGCCACATGGCTTGGTACCTTTTCTCAGTGCGGCATTCTCATCTCTGCGTCTGGCTGGTGACTCCTGACTCTGCCTGTCTCCTTCCCAGCATTCTCAGTTTGGGTTTCCTGCCCAGCTACTGGCCTGTCAGCTTTTTATTAACCAATGAGAGCAACACATATTCACAGCATACAGAGAGACATCCCACAGCACCAAAGAGTAAAACAAAACAACTACCGTCCTCAACTTGTCTTAACGTACATGGGCTGCAATAGTGAAACAGTCTGGCTGGAATCTAGGAAGTGCAAGATCAATATGACCCACTCTAGTGAGGTCTAAGCACACTCATACTCCACAGGTGTAATCTAGTGGTATCCTGTCAGAGTGGACTGGGCAGACTCCTTCAAGCTAGCTCCTTTTGGAAGTTACTTTTCTATTGCTGTGATAAAACACTGACCAAAGCTAGTTATAGGGAGATGCGTTTGTTTTAGGCTTATGGCTCCAAAGGTTAGAGTCCTTAACTTTGGAGTGAGGTAGCCGGCAGCAGGGAGACATGCAGGCTGGAGCAGCCGCCAAGAGCGCACCTCTCCAACTGCAAACAGGAAGCAGAGTGCGCTGGAAACAGAGCATGGCTTTTGAAACCCCAAAGCCTGCCAAAGCCTGCCCAGGGACACATTTCCTTCACCCACGCCACACTGCCTGAGCTTCCCCAAACAGGGCTACCAGCAAACGGCCAAATGCCGAGACTTACAGACGCCCATTCAAACCACCATAGCCACTGATTATGCTCACGAGAGCTCCACCTCCATGAATTAATTACGTGATGAAGATACTGTCCTCTTTAATTTTTTTTGTTTTATTATTTTACATGTATGGGTGTTTTGCCTGCATGTGTGTCTGTGCATTGTGTGCTATCAGTGGCAGAAGAGGGCATTGGACCCCTGGAATTGGAGTCACAAGTGGCTGTGAGCCATCACAGGGCTGCTGAGAATTGAGCTTGGGCCCTCTGGAAGAGCAGCAGGGCTCTTAATTCTCCAGCCCAAGATCCTACCTCTTAGTAGCATTACAGTGGGGATTAGCTTTCAATGTGTGCGTGGGGGAGGGGAGGAAACACAGATATTTAGACTATAACACTATTTTAATTACTTAAAATTAATTTAAATTAAAATCTATGCCATTATGGGACAGGGTTCTTTAAAAAACGTTTTTAAGTTACACTAATCATTTTATTTATTTATTGTGTGTGGGCATATGCAGATGTGCATGACATATCTCATATGTATTGGTCAGAAGACACTTGAGAAAATCATTCCCTCTCTCTATAGCACAGGACTTTGAGATCAAATTTAAGTCTTCAGGTTGAATGGGAAAGTGTCTTTACCCACTGAGCCATGCCCACAGTCCTGGGATAGGACTCTTAGTGGCAACTATAAGCCAGCACCTAAGGATCAGAACCGCTTGAGCAGCTCTGGGAAGGCAGCCACGCCTACCAACCCAAACCTACAGAACTGGGCTCTTTGAGCCTTAGATCCTAGGTCTCAGCCAGTCCTCCGGGGACTCGGATGGAGGCTGGTTTTTACCACTGGCCTGTGTTTTGAGTACAGTAGTTGTATTTTCTTCATGAAGTTGTCGCCAGGAAGGAGGCCTGACTTCCTTTATGAACTCAAAAAAAATTGGAGCAGATTGGGGTGGGATGGGGGGAAGATGGGGAGGGGAGTGAGTAAGAGGAGGGGAGGGAGGGAGAACTGTGGTTGGTATGGAAAATGGAAAAAAAAAACCTTTTAAATAAAAAAAATAAATAATAAGAAAAAAACGGAACGAAAGCAGTCAGCAGCAGTCAACTCAGTGTTTGGTGTCAGAAAAGCAAGATTTTTCTTTTCCTGTATTTTTGTTGTTGATTTTGCCTGATGAATTCAGTGGTTTGATCCTGTATAAAGTTTGGTCACGATGAACAGGATTAATGGCTAAAGTGCTTTGAATGCTGCTAGAAGAAAGAGGTTTTTGCTGGAGCTGTCATTTCAGAACTGGTAACTCCAGATTCTCTTGACCTGAAACCACAGAAGCCCAGTGCATTGTGTCCTAGGCTGTCCTTTGAACGCTCAGACAGACTTGCAGCATTCATGCGTGCCTTGCCTCTTCTACCCTCAAGTCTTGCTGTTCCTGAAGATAAAGATGTCCTTTGAGAATTTTCCACAGAGGGTAACTTTGCTCTTTAATAAGCTGTGATAGAACCTCAGAGAAAGTTGAACCCACAAAAATCTCACATCACTGTCCATTTAGGTATAAGGTTGTTGTAGAATATTTTTTCCCCCAGAGCTGAGGACAGAACCCAGGGCCTTGCACTGTGCTCTACCACTGAGCTAAATCACCAACCCCGTAGAATATTATTTTAAGGTGTGTTACTTTTGTTTATGTTGCATCTGTTATCTCTGTGAAGCTGTGTTACTGTGCCTGTCTAAAACACCTGATGGTCTAATAAAGAGCTGAATGGACAATAGTGAGCAGGAGAAAAGATGGGCAGGGCTGGCAGGCAGAGAGAATATACAGAAGGAGAAATCTGGGAGGAGAGAAGAAGAAGCCAGAAGGGGAGGAGGACATCAGGGGCCAGCCACCCAGCTACACAACCAGCAATGGAGAAACAAAGAAAGATACACAGGAATAGAAAAGGAAAAGCCCAGAGGCAAAAGATAGATGGGATAATTTAAGTTAAGAAAAGCTGGCTAGAAATAAGCCAAGCTAAGACAAGGCATTTATAATTAAGAATAAGCCTCCATGTGTGATTTAATTAGGAGCTGGTGGTGGGTCCCTCCAAAGAGTAAAAACAACACCATAAGCTAGCGCTGAGCATGGTGGGGGTGCAGGCCTTTAATCCCAGCATGCTGGAGGCAGAGGCAAGTGCATCTCTGTGATACATGGCAAATCCCAGGCCAGCTAGGGCTGCATAGGGAAACTTTGTCTCAAAATTAATAATAATCAATAAATAGAAGGTAGTGATGGCTGGGTGATCAAGATAATAAAGAAAATGTGTTGTGGAATATTATTTTAACTAAGCAAAGATGTGTTGCATTTGTTTATGCAGCATTTGTTTAATTATATAAAGATGTGTTGCTGTTTCACCTTGCCTGCCTAAGGCACCTGATTGATCAAGTAAAAAGCTGAATGGCCAATAGCTGGGCAGGAGAGGGATAGGTGGGGTTGGTGGGCAGAGACAACAAGTAGGAGGAGAAATCTAGAAAAAAAAAGAGAGAGAGAGAAGAAAGAAGGGAGAGTGAGGGAGAAAAACAGGGACACACCAGGGGCCAGAAGCCAGGCAGCCACCAGCCAGACACAAGAAGCAGTGAAAGTAAGATATACAGAAGGAAAGAAAGGTAAAAAGCCCCGAGGCAAAACATAAAGAGAAACAGATTAAAATAAGAGGAAGATAAGGCCGAGCATTCATAACTAATAAGAAGTCTCTGTGTCATGATTTGGTAGCTGGTTGGTGACCCAAAAGAAAAAGCCAGCTATAAAAACATGCAGACAATCCTTTTCTCTGCTGACCTGGTCCCGGCACATTCTCCAGCTTCCATTCTGAGGGTCTGATAGAGCAAGGGGATGCGTGTCAGAGGGCTTAGCAACATATAAAGAGCAGTATTCACAGACCAGTAGCAGCTGTAGTAGTGGAGCAGAAACAGAGTTGCCATTTCTACCTTAGCATTCAACAATAACACAGAAAGTTATATAGAATCTTGTGTAGACATCACTGTGTTTATAGAGTGCAATTTTTTTCCCTTTCTGGCAAAAAATAGAAAATATCCCAAGAAATGGGAATATAAATGGGACAATTTCCTCACTTGCAAGCAAGAGACCCCTGCTTTGCTAAATGTCAACATGCCTGCCCCCTGCATTTTCATATTATCCAAAATTACATCCCGAGCACATGGGCACTGAGTTCTGATTATTACAAATCACTAGTCACACACACAGATCTGCATTTTCTTCTGCCCACTTGAGCTGTTTTGCTGCCTTCCCTCTCAGACTTGGAGGAACTGGACATTTCCTGGAATGATTTTGTCAGCGGGACCCTCCACTTGTTCACTGAGCAAATGCATCTGGTCAGCAAGCTGAAAGTCCTCAGGCTGCGTGGCTGCGGAATCACCACTGAGGATGTTCAAACTCTGGGTAAGGTGACGCCTCCCCTAAGATGGGACTTCTCTCTGCACGACAACTTGAAAAACAATAAAAGAACAGGGGCTGGGAAGATGGCTACGTTCATAAAAAGCTTGTCTTGCGAACACGAGGACCCAAGTTTGAACTTCAGAACCCATGGAAGCTGAATGTGGCGGCATAGGCTTAGAATCACAGTGCCATGGAGACAGAGACAGGCAGATCTGAAGCCTGCTAGCCAGCCAGCTCAGCAAGCTCCAGCGAGAGACCTCTTTTCAAAAACAAAACAAACAAAAAACCCCGAGGAAGACAGAGGCACTTGAAGCACACCACCAAAGGTCATTCTATGGCTTCCCATGTATGTGCGCATGCACGCACATGCGCACACTAGAGCACACGCGCATTTAAACACACAGATCGAAAACTTGGAAACAGAAAACATGGCTTCCCTTGAAGTATCTTGTCGTCCTGACCCCTCAGGGGCAAACATTCGGTGTTGTCTCTGCATGTGTGGATGGTCAAGAGCACGGCTGGGGACTTCCGTGCCTTGCACCCCAGATTGTGGATAAGGACGGAACAAAACTGACCAGACTCCCGCCTGCACGGCTTTTACGGGGCTATTGTAATGCTAGCTCACTCGGGGTCTCACAATCTCGTCTATAAAACGGAAGAATTGGAGTAGATAGCAGTTAATCTGTTTTTAAATTCCAAAATAATACTTACCTCCTTTATTTTTCTAACCCACCTTAAAAAATTGATCAAAATGAGTTTTTTTAAACTAAAACTTGATTTAGCTGGAATTAGAGCCTCAATTAAGTTAAATATACACTGAAAAAAAAAGATAACATTTGTGAAAAGTCAGACTACTTACCCATATGCTTTACTAAAATGTTTGCTGCTTTATTTACTTTTTTCTATTTTGATGAATTATTTTGGTCATTCCCTTATCTTCAGAGATTTGTGTTAACAAAATGAGTGCCAAATGTCTCCTCTTGTTAGTCCCTTGGGAGGGTTTCAAGACTCCCACACCTCTGGTTGGTTCCTGTCCCACCTCAGTGGTTTTCTCTATGAAATGGTTTCAGGCAAGAAGGAGCAAAGTTTCCCCCTCTCCCCTCTAAGCCCCCTGGCTGTGACTGTGGCTGTGGCTGGCCACCTAGCTCTGCTTCTTCTCTAGGGGAAGCCCTGCTTCCTCTCTTTAACGTTCAGTGCACGTTACAGTCTTGGTGTCCAAGTGTGTTGGGTTTCTGGCTTGCCTCTCTTCTACCTGTGCCCAGTCTGATGCCAGGGAGAGTGGGTGGAGGGAGCAGACGGGTTGTGCGCAATAGATCCTGACTTCTAGAGAACAGCCCGGCAAAGACACTGCCTCTGGGTCAATTGTTTACAGCTGTGGTTCACTCAGGGCCATGGCTTCCTGAGCTCTGGAAGGACTAGAATGCTGTGCTTGCACATGGAGGCGCTCACTCTGTTGTTAGGGGCAGGACCTGTGTCCCTTTCTTCTCCTTGCTCCTCATCAGCAAACACAGTACCTGCCTCAGCTTCCATATTCCCTAATTACTGGCAGTCCTGGTTGTGAATGATGTCTCTGCCTTTCTGAGCCAGCGCCCACTGAATTATGGGATATTTGGTACTTAGGAGCCGCTCTTGAAATGATACCTGCACTTGAAGAATTGAGTTTATCCTGGAACAGCAACGTGGGAGGAAAGTTGCCTCAGGTTCTCCATACATTCCGAAAAGGGAGCAAGATTCGAACACTTGAACTTGCGGACTGTGCCCTCACGTCACAGGATGCGGAGTTTGTGGGTAAGTGGAATTTATAAGAGTTCTTCCCAGAAAAATGTAGGAAAGATGCCTGTGATTAGCAGCTGGGACTGCCCGCAGGTGCTCTTTGTCCCCAGGGCACAGGGAGCTGCAGCAGACCTCAGGCTAACCTCTGGCTTCCACATGGACACTCTTCCTGTTTGGATTTATTCCCTTTCAGGTCACTTGCTACCTAAGCTGCAGAGACTCGAAGTATTTGATCTTTCCATTAACAGAAACATTGGCAGTAGTCTAGACATCATAGCACAAGGATTAAAAAGTACCTCAGGCCTGAAGGTATTGAAGTTGCATTCCTGTGGATTATCCCCAAAGAGTGTCAGAATATTGGGTGAGTTGACGATTGTTAAATTTAAGATTATGCGTGTAAAGTATAAAATGCATTATATGTCAGGGTCGGTGAATCAACTCACTGGGTAAAAACGCTCAGGCCGGCTGCCCGAGTTTGAATCCCAGGACCATGGTAGAAAGAGAGAACCAACTCCATATGGTGTTCTCTGATCTCCATATATATACCTTGGCACTCACACACACACACCCACTCACACCCCCACACACTCATACACAATAGAGATAAATGAAAAAATTTAAATGTATCATATAACATATATGTTATTTAAAATCTATTAGAGCATATAAACTTAAATATTCATTCTTTTATTTATTTGTTCTTTGTTTATTTGCTTCAGTTCAGGGAACTGAACCAGGGCCTTAGTGCATGCTAGCCTTATTTATTTTTGAAATTGTTCACAGTAAACTTACACTTTATTATTACAAAAAAGAAACAGAAAAACACAGAACAAAATAAAAGGACCCTCTTATGTCAGGCTTGGGAGTGTAGACCTGAGATTCTAAAGGCTAAGGAAGTTAGGTTACAAGGTCAAGTCCAGCCCTGGCAACTTAATGAAAGCATCTCAAATCAAAAGTAAAAAGAGGTGAAGAGGCTGGGCTGTCTGAGCGGGTGGAAGGCTCAAGGATGAACACCACAGAACAGACAAGCTTTTAAACTGACTAGCTCTGAAAGGCCAGCAAATCTAAGGTATGAGCTGGACACTGGGTAGGTTTATTATTGCTGTTGAAGACATCAGCTTTATTGTGTTCAGTGCCCGGAAGGTATTGATACTGATAAAATAATAATAATGTCCCTAGTGGTATCCATGGGAACACTTGCTCTCTGTGTGAGGTGGCCTCGTTATAGGGAATGATACCGTTTTTTCCTGTGACTTTCAGAGTTTTCAGTGTCCTTCTAACTGGCAGCCTGAGGAAATCTAAGGTCAGCACTCAAGTGTAGGTGGTGGTGTAGGCAAGTGTCCTCAGAGATTCAGACAGGAACTAATGGCAGCCAATTGGATCTTAGAGAGAGGGCTTGTGAAGTCTCTGTTGGGTCTGCTGAGGCCCAGTTGGCAGGGACTCTGCAGTTACCCCCACCCCCACCCCTTTGGCTCTGTTCCTCTTCCTCCCCACTCGCCTGCCCACTACCTCACAGTACGGATTTCAGGAGGGGTCGGAACCTGCTTTGCAGATGGTGCCTTTGCATCCTTGGATGTGCTGAGGACACTGGATCTCTCCGGCAACAAGGAGCTGGGCGGAGGCTTTGAAGAAGTGCCTGCTCAGCTGGCCTTACTGGAGCATCTAGAAATCCTAGATCTTCACCAGTGCTCACTCACAGCCCATGATGTGGAATCACTGAGTAAGTGCACCCCGTGGAGCAGAACCTGTGGAAATGCCTGAGAAGTTAGAGAGTTGGGGTGGATGCTTGAATTCACTGACCAAGTCTTCAGGGTTTTGTGTGTACCCTGAACACCCAGTAAATGTTAAAGAATCCAAGATTTGGTACTTGAAGGGGAAAAATTTGAATTTCTCTTGCCTTTTAGAAACAAGTGTCTTAGTGTCACAACCTTGATTATGTACAGGTCTGTAGAGAGAACACCAAAATGTGGCTTTTAAATGACAGCGTCGAGACACTAGAGAAAAGGCAGTTACTGAAAAGCAGCTGTTGGTGGTGCATAATGGGTGGGCATCACAACTTCAAAGAGCAGTGGTTAGTTTCCTACCGTCAGTGTAGTTCTGTGGGTGTTACCTGTAATACGGAAATGCACTTTCCCATAGTGGGAAGACCAGAAATTATTCCTCCCCGCCCACATGTGGCCATACCGAACCTTCAAGACACTGAGCATGCCTTTGCAAGAGCCCAGTTGTCTTCCTGCCCCTTCTCTCTGCCTTTGTTCCCCAGTCCTCATCTCCCTGAACCCCGCTCAGGCCTCGCCGTCCTCAGACACACCTGGCGTCCTGTGGCCTTTGAGCTTTCCTCTTCCTGTTTTCAGACAGAGGGCGACTTCCAAGGTAGGAGTGGGTCTGACCCCGAATCTCTCCATTGCTCAAGTGTAGGTACCCGCAATTTCCTGTCTCCCACTAAGGGCATGCTTAATATGCAAATGGATGACAAATAATAATAATACAGATTTTAAAATACACTTTGGGGAAGGAAAATAGTAAAAATAAAATTTCAGGTCTAGCAACCACCTTTGGCGTCTGCTGAATTATTCCTCAGACTCTTGTCCCTCAATCTGGAAAAGTGTGAAAAGTTCAAAGTGTTCATGAAGGCATTAAGTGGAAAATTCCTTTTCACTCTCCACAGAGCACTGTGCAATAGCCTCATCCCTTCTATCACAGGCTGAGGGGACACTACTGAGTTACCTGGCTACCAGATCCCTGTGGCAGAACTCACAACACTGAATGTCACATCTTCCATTGTTGTTCTTAGGGGGTGAAAATGTGCTGGAGGAGCTTCACTGTCAGCTGCTGGCACAGCACAGGAATAGCCCCCTTGTTTAGGACATGGGAGAGTATCCGGGCAGCTGATGATCATGTAAGAAGCGCAGCAAATGGCATTGTTCTTCTGCTGCTTGATTTTTTAAAAAAAGGAAGTTAGATGCTGCTGTGATTTGCATGGCTTTGGACTTGATCTGACTAGGGTGTTGGGGAATGAAGAATGGCAGACAGAAACACAGAAAGGCTAACATCAGGTGGGCCATGGCTTTGGTGTGCCATGTCAGTGAAGACACACTGACAGCCTGGAAACTCAGTGCATTTATTATATACCACTGAATGAGGAAGGGGTTTTATTGCATACAGCTGAGTATGGAGGGAGCTTATTATATACAGCTGAATAAAGAGGTGGTCTTATTATAGACATTTGAGTAAGGAGAATGTTTATTACATACATCTGAGGAGACTGTTTATTATATACATCTGACAGAGGAGAATGTTTATTACATACATCTGAGAGAGGAGGATGTTTATTATATACATCCGAGAGAGGACGTTGTTTATTACACACATCTGACAGAGGAGAATGTTTATTATACACATCTGACAGAGGAGAATGTTTATTACACATATCTGAGTGAGGAGGCTGTTTATTATATATATATCTGAGAGAGGAGGGTGTTTATTACACACATCTGAGAGAGGAGGCTGTTTATTACACACATCTGACAGAGGAGAATGTTTATTACACACAGCTGACAGAGGAGAATGTTTATTACACATATCTGAGTGAGGAGGCTGTTTATTACACACATCTGAGGAGGCTGTTTATTATATATATATCTGAGAGAGGAGGGTGTTTATTACATACATCTGAGAAAGAAGGGTGTTTATTACACACATCTGAGAGAGGAGGGATTAACTAATCTAGGGAGTCTCTGTAGGGAGCAGTCTCAGGCTACAGTCATCACAAGGAGGAAACTATGTTTGATACTTTCTGCAAACACTGTCAACATCCATACTTGGACCAGGGGAAGGCCTTGCCATTCCTGTGGGATTGAGGCATTGGGGTCCCTGACACGGCTGCTCTTGTGTCAACTATACATATTTACTTAGGATTTCATGGGTTCCCCACAACATGCATCCCATTTTCTACCTTATGATGCTAAATAATTGAACATTTATTTATCACTGCAAATAACTTCAAAGAATTACTGCTTATTTAGCTAGTAACTGCTGATTAATCTTCCAGTTGTGAGGCTCTGTACCATGGCCCATGGAAATTCAGACAGAGTGTCAGTCTTCTAGGGCAGGAATAAAACAAAACCTATCCGCAATTGCTGTGGAGGGAACCAGGGAATGGTTACCCCAATGGGACCATGAGTCCTACTTTCTCTTCCTTTTCTTTCTTTTCCCATACCCCCTCTCTCATACACACTTTTGTGTCTTGATGTTTCAGATACTGGCCCCCACTCTGGGAATGAGGTAGTCTCCACACACACAGTGCTCACCTTCAGTGAGGGAAGAAAACAAATATGTAAGCAAGAAAAGAGTGTGCAGTCATGGGTGCAGGGAGAAAGATAAGTAACAGTTATTCTTTTCTGTTGCTGTGAGAAAACACCACGACAAAGACAACTTATAGAAGGAAGAGTTTACTTGGGCTTGTGATTTCATGGGTCTAAGAGTGAATCCACGAGAGTGGAGCAGGGGCATGGCAGCAAGTGGCAGGTGTGGCTGCAGGAGCAGAAAGCTGAGGTGTACATCTGGAACCTCAAACACAAGCAGAGAGAAAAAACTCTAAATGGTGTAGAGTCTTTAAACCCTCAAAGCCTACCTCTATTGGCATACTTCCTGTAAGACCACGCCTCCTAAACCTCCCCAAACAGCACCGCCAACTGGGAAACAGATGTTCAAACATCTAAGCCTGTGGGGGACATCCTCATTCAAACCACTAAAGACATGACAGTGACTGAGAGGTGCCTGGGTGGCCCTGGAAGGCTCCACGAGATAAGCTATCCATGGGTCTCGTAGGATAATGTTTCCTGTGTTGGTAATTCCCCCCGAGAGACCTCGAAGCAGGCAAGTAGCAGGAAGATAGTAGACTCTGGCTACGTGTGGCTCCAGCACTTACTTACCAGGCCAGGGTTACCTGATATGGCTGGTGAGAGATGAACCTTTGACCAGGTACAGGTTGGAGGGGTCACAGCAGGACTGAGGCTGTGACAAGTTTATTCCAAGCAATCATTTTTTATACCTTTATCAGAAACAGAATATAATGGCAATTGCCAGGATCACCACAGTGGTAGTTGCCAGGATCCAATGACGTTTGCAAGCCATACAGGGTCCACAAGATTCGTGTCTAAGACCAATTGTCCTGTCACATATCTTCACTGACTTCTAGGGAACATATAGAATCACAAGGTGGCCTGAATGTTTCTCTGCCTGAGGGAGTGCCTCGGTTTCTCGGGAACTGAAAGGCTCACAGTGTCCCAGAATCCATGAACTATAATCTGAAAAACCTATGACGCATGCCTCTTAAGGCAGCAGGATCAGGCCAACTCCATGATCCCTGAAGCTCCTTTTGACTCAGCAGGCTCCGTAGGCCCCCTCTCCAATGCTGCCACCAGCAGGCACGTGATGACTTGTCTTTACTGGCACTTAACATTCTGAGAAGAGAATGACCATGTCAAACATTAATGTGTGCCAGCACTAAAGGAAACTATTAGGAGCAAGCCATTTTATTTCTCTAATTCTCTTGTAATTCTCTTGTTTTATGATTAATGAAACCAAGCTCCAGAGAAGCTGGCTGGTGCTGATCTCATACAGGGTTAGCTACCATTATTGTTTTTGTGGTCTTGGGGTTTGGGCCTACTCACACTAGCAACTACTCTACCACTGGGCTCTACACCCAGTCCTCTTTTATGCCTTTTATTTTGAGACAAGGTTTCACTAAGCTAATCAGGTAGGCTTTGAACAACCAATCCCCCCTTTCCTCAGAATTCCAAGATTACAGGTTTGAACCACCAGGCCCAGCTAGTTGCACAGTTCTAGGATTAGAACTCAGTCTCCTAAACCTTTGCTTTTACATTTTAGTCCACAGAGAGGCTCAGGAATAGAGAAGCCAGAAGAGCAACCTGGAGAGAGGCTGATTTGCCTGTGGTACAGTCTGTGTGGGGGTCTCAGGGAGGGTAGTGCCATACAGATGAGTTCAGTAGAAGCCATGCTAGGAAGACTGTGGGAGCCAGATGTTCCTAGGACTCTGTGAAACAGTGCCTCATATGTGTCATGGTTGATATTTCCACAGCTCAGATAATCCCTTTGCTCTCAAACCTTCAAGAGCTGGATTTGTCATCCAACAGAAAGGTGGGCGGCTCTTCTGAAAACCTACTCAGCAGGCTCCGATTTTTACCGGCACTGAAGTCATTACTGATCAATGGTTGTGCTTTGGAAAGTGAGACTTTCACAGCCCTTGGTAAGAGAGCTTCCTAGCTCCCAGCATGCACCGGGCAATGACCTGAGGGAGACCCCCCACACACACACATACACCATGAATTTCATTCCAAGAAAAGGACTAGTCACTAAAGACTAATTGGGTGTTTGTTTATTTGTTGTTGTTTTTTTTTTTTCAGGAAATGTTTTCTCTTAAAAGTGATCTTTGTTGGACCCCAAAGTTTAGGGTCTCAAGTGGGCGCCCCAAGAACCCAGACTCCACTCCAGTTGATGCAACAGCATGAGGATTTATTAAGCTTCTATATAGAAGAGCTCCTCTGCTCCCAAGAGCAAGAGTCGCATCTTACTGTAGTCACATAGGTGCTTTTAAAGGAAAAACCCACAAAACCCACAAGATTACAATTCCCATACAATTTCATGGCCTGATCACAGAGTGGGTACAGTCACGTCCGCATGTACATTCTTCCTGAAACCTCAAGGGGGGTATCAGGGCGGGAGTGGAGTTTACACAAAGGTCACAGTGGTCCTTCCTGGAACACTTGCAACTGTCCCAGTCACAGTTGAGCACATCTCTTAACAGAAATCTTTTTACATTGTTATATTGTTACAGGTGTGATTGAGTAGTCGCTGAGTCAGGTTGCCCTTGGAACTAGTTTTCTTTTTAGTTCCTTATTCTCCTGGGGCATGAGGGGTGTAAGCCTGAAGGGTTAGGGTCTTTCAATCTTAAAAGTTGTATGAATGACAATGGCATTTATTTTATTTTTATTATTTTTTGAGACAGGATCTCATAAAGCCCAGGCTGGCCTTGAACTTGCTATTTAGCTGACAGTGACTTCGAACTTCCGGTCCTCCTGCCTCTGCCTCCCAGACCTGGGAGTACAGGCATGCACTAGTATGCTCAGTTTGTGTGGCACTGAGGGTAGAACCCAGGACTTTGTGTGTGTTAGGCAAGCACTCTACCAACCAAGCTACAGCCTAAGCTCCGAGTAGCATTTTGCTTTACATTATATGAAGCTAGCTCTGGAAGTCTGTGTCCAGTAACTTGTCATTTTGCTGAGAGGGAACATGAATTGAGGATGTTGTGAGTCTGATGGAAAGAGATATTGTTTGTAACACAAATTGCTAAATGGTCTTTTAATAAAAATCCCGGAGCCAGATATTGGGGTAAATGCTGAAAGATCAGAGAGACAAAGGAACAAGCCATGGCTACTTCTCACCTCACCAACTCCACGAATCCTCTGACATAATGTCTCTGAGTCCTCAGTCAAAAGGGGTCCAGCTGAAAAGCGGCTTCAGCCAGAAAGCTTTCTAGCTGAAAGGGCTCTAGTCGAAAAGGCCTTTAGCTAAAAAAGGCTTGAGTTCTCAGCAGAAAGGGGCTCTAGTTCCTGTCTCCTCACACCTTATATACCTTTCTCGGCCCAGCCATATTACTTCCTTCCTAGTGCTGGGATTAAAGGCGTGTGACTCCCAAGTACTGGGATTAAAGGTGTGTGCCACCATTGCCAGGCTCTGTTTTCTCTCCTAGACTGAGTCAATCTCATGTAGTCTAAAGTGGCTTTGAACTCACAGAGATCCAGACAGAGCTCTGCCTCCCGAGTGCTAGGATTAAAGGTGTGTGCCACCACTGCCTGGCCTCTATGTTTAATCTAGTGGCTGGCTCTGTCCTCTGATCTTCAGGCAAATTTTATTAGGGTATGTTATTTATTTGTCGGCGTTATTTACCAGGCATGAGAAAACATGAGGTACAATGGAACCCACTATAAGTTTTTTTTTAGGGAAGGGAAAGGGTGGAGGTGGGTAGGCCTACCCAAAAGAAAGGTGCAGGGTGGGGGGGAGGGAGGGAAGGAGAAAGAGAGGGAGAGAGAGAGAGAGGTGCATGCTACCTCTGGCGAGAGGGACCGGGTAGAGCCTGCTTTTATAGGTCACCTTGCACATGCGTATATGGGTTTACGTAGCAATGCCATGCATGTGCATAGATTACATGATCATGCTGCGTGCAGATTATGTGACCACGTCGTGCACAGATTATGTAGGACATAAGGCCCTGAAGTGACTAAACATTTTGCCTGACTGCTGACAGTGCATGCATGGTCATGTGACTCCAGAAGCGGCTAGGAGTAATAACCGGGTATACAATATATCACCACAATTATTAGTGTCTGAGTCTAGCTGACCACTCAGCATTCATTCCCCACGGCACCTATGCTGTTAGGAATCCTGAAGGCCATGCCTCTATCCTAGCCTATATCAAGGGTCTACCAGATTTGGAATTTCTTCCCATCATGGCTGGCAAGTGGAAGGAGGTGCTTAGAGGTAAAGGGACATTGTGGAATATCCCCAAACATACCACTCAGGTAAACCAGCACTTTGTGCATACAGTACTGGGGTCCCCAGCAGTATTCCAGTTTCATTGATTCCTAAGAAGACTCAAGTCTGAGCATATAGCTGTACTCATAGCAAAGATTTATTACAGGGAAAGGACACAAAATAAAACCAGGATAGGAAAATGTTTGTGAGGGAAAGCCCCAGGGAACCAAGTGCAGTCTCCCAAGAGTTCTTTCTCAGTAGAACTGCACAGGGCACACTTGACTACTCCAGCAATGAATTGTGACGTGTGTGATCTATTCTAGTGGAACTCATCGGAACCTGCAAGCAAGGGTTTCACTGAGGTTCAGTCATGCAAATATCCTCTCAGGAATTCCAGACTCACAGAAGGAAACTGGTAGATGTCATAATTTATATTATTAATACAAGTAGTTTAGGCACTGGAGTGGTGTCCTGAGGTGACTGGGTTGTGTCTTACCTCATCAATGTGTCAACAATGACAGACTCAGAGTTGAGTGGGCTGTTTTTCGGAAGTGCTGGGATCTGTAGGAGCTGTGGTCCCATCAGGAAAAGGAATCCTGGAGCACTCCCGGTTCCTGCTGCTTTCTCCTGTTTCTTGGCTGTCATGAGGCAAGCAGCTCTGCTACATCACTCTCTCCTCAGCAAGAGACTTTGTGTCATCAGAGCCTGAAGTCAGAGAGCCAAATCTTTGCTCCTTTGTTTCCCTTGGATTGTTTTGTCTTGTCCTCGACACAAGGTCACACTATGTAACTCAAGCTGGGCTCAGAATCTCCGTTCTTCACCCAATCCTCCTGCATGATGGCATTATAGGCAGGTACGACCATGCCCAGCCTTCGGAGGCATTTTGTTACAGCAACAGAAATCTGAATGACTAGACTAGTCTTGGCTCCTGAGGACATATACCAGTCTCAAGAACTGTGTAATTATTAATGTCTTTAAAGTGTTATCCTGATTCAAGATTTAAAAGAGCAATCCAAAACAAAACAAAAACCCCACCACATTCCCTAGAAACATAAGGTATATTCTCTGGCATCAACCACTGAAGAAGATACAGATTGTTCCCCAAATAAAAATTTAAAACAACAAGAAACCTAATACACTCTTTGTAAGTGTGCACATGGCTAGAACTGTGGACTTGGGTGTGAATTAGTCACTTTATTCGAAGTTGGGACAAAATGCCTGGTGAAAGCAGCGTAAGGGGAAAGCCATCTGTTTTTGTGCACCGTTTGAGATCAGATACAGATACAGCACAGTCACATGGCAGCCACACTAAGGGACAGAGAGATGGATGCGCCTCAGGAGTGTCTTAACATCTCTGCAAACGCACTCATAGGCACACCCAGAGGTGTGTTTCCATGGTGATTCTTGGATGACGGTGGAAACAGTCCTGCTTTGGATCCTCTTTTACATATTATACCAGTTAAAAAAATCCTTTAAAATTGTGCCATGGAGCAGACAGGTCCATAATTAAAGGAAATAAACGTGCCCTATTAATGATAAGGTTATTTTCTAGTAACTATCAATAAAACCACTTAAAGAAGTCTGTATTTGGAGAACCCTTGCTCTCCTTTCAGCCCCACATACTCGGTCTTTTCTATGGACTTCTGCCAGCCCTGTGCCAGGCTGTAAACCTTTCAGACTTGATGATTTTAGCATGGGGCCCTGGAATGTCTACAGAATGTCTATGATGTGCTTGATTTGTCTATTAGTGACTTAAAGTTGGTTACAATCACCCTGTGGGGGAGTGTTCAGTTCACCTGACGACACACTGGCAGTCAGATCTGGCTCTGGATCTTGTGGCCTGTGTGACTGCACGTCCCCGAGATCTCAGCGTTTTTACTTCCTCATCTGTCAAATAGAAAAACGTGACAATTGCATGGACATCACAGGGTTGTAAAAAACAAGTGACTTTAATGCACAGACAGTTCTGGGAAAGCTGCCTGGCTCATAATGCTCAACAAATGTTACTTGTTTATATTATTGCAGAATCTGTAAATTTCATTTAAAAGCAAATTGGGTTTCCTCAGTTTTAGAATGGCCAGGACAGTTCCTGTAATAGCTCAGGTGGAGCCCATGTTCCTGAATGTGACCTAAAAGGGCCCGGTGAGCCGGCCCCAGCACCCCTCTACCTCTTGGACCCAGCCTCAGGCAGATTCCTGCTGACTCTTCAGTGTCTCTGAGTTCTCAGCTGCTCCTGTTCTGATCTCTGGAACATTTGACTTCCAGGCTCTGCTCTTTCCTGGTAGTTCTCACACAATTTTCAGGTCTAGGTGTGACTATTGATCCTTAACACAGTCACCAGCTCAATTAGGAGCCTCTTTGTAGCCTTTGTCAAAATTTATAATTAAGGCAAGATGTGTGGTGCCTGTCTGTAACACCAATACCCAGGACGCTGAGGCAGGAGGATCACAGGGCTGTACAGCAAGTACCTGTCTCAAGACTCAGATCTAATTCATGTACTTATTTGTATGGTTGTATAATGTCCCTCCCTAAAGCACATTTTCGGCACTCTCTACATTTAGTTATTAGTACGTAACAGACTTCTCAAGGGAGACTGTAATTCACCAAATAATTAGGTAGGCCCACAAAACAGACATTCTACTGCTTAATGTTCATGTGGAAAAATTACAGAATACAGTGGTTTTGGGAACAATATGATGTTTCATAACTATACCTCCTATTAAGAAAATTCTATATTGCTTTAGAAAAAAATGTTGAAGAAATGGCAGGTCTCCGGAGACAGCTCCTTGTACTGCAGCTGTATAATCAGTAAAGAATAAGGCAACTATGACACAGAAGCACATTACTGACATAAGTCTACCACTCAAGCTGATATACATTCTACATCACTTTGATAAGAAAATTGGAAAATTTGACTTTTCTTTATTATAGACCTATGTGCCATGAGTGGGTGGGATTTCCTCTTGAATACTTTGTAAAGAAATCAGACAGTTAAAAAATGCTTATTATGCTTGGGAATACGTTGTTATGGTTAACTGTCACTTAGGAGCCATCTGAGAATTAATTAGCATTTAAAAACTCCATCCAATGTGTTAGTTCCTTTCCTGTGTCTTCGCTGCTTTTCTATGTCTGTGAAGAGACACCATGACCAGGGCAACGGATATAAGGGAGCATTTAATTTGGGGCTTGCTTTCGGTTCAAAGGTGAGTCCCTGACCATCATGGTGAGGAGCGTGGCAGCAGCAGGAGGCAGTCATGGTGCTGGGGCAGTAGCTGAGAGCCTGGATCTGATTCATAAGCAGGAGGCAGTCATGGTGCTGGGGCAGTAGCTGAGAGCCTGGATCTGATTCATAAGCAGGAGGCAGTCATGGTGCTGGGGCAGTAGCTGAGAGCCTGGATCTGATTCATAAGCAGGAGGCAGAGGGAGAGAGACTGGGCTTGGTGTGGGCTTTTGAAACCTCAAAGCCCACCCACGATGACACACCTCCTTCCACAGGGCATGCCTCCTAGTCCTTCCCAAACAGTTCCACCAACTGGGAACCAAGCATTTGAATATATGAGCTTATGGGGACCTTTTTCATTCAAACCACCACACTTTGACTGGGTAATTGCATGAAATAAACACAAATACAGCTTGAGTCTTAGAGAAGCTTGGCCCCATCTCTGAATTTCAAACATTGGGACCAAACATTGGCATAGGTACCAATTCAGGTGTACTCTGAAAATTCTGACCAGCTTTCTGGGCTCCTTAACCCTTTTTTCTTCTTAACTACAAAAGAAATAAAAGAAATCCCAGCTAATGGGAAATCCCATTTAACTAAGTCTAGCTTTCTTAATGTTGCCAATAGGGTCCCAAGTACAACCTTTTCAGCCCTAGGCATATTCATAGACTGCTCTAGCTCTTATGGTCTCCCATGGGATCCAAGTTACTAACGCTCTTATCATTACAATTTTAGCCGAAGCTTCTGTCCACCTCCCTGCCCTGGAAACACTCAACCTTTCTTGGAACAAGTGTGTTGGTGGGAACCTGGAGCTCCTTCTTCAAACACTGAAGCTGTCAAGGTCGCTCCGAGTGCTGAGGCTGAGCAGCTGTGCCCTGGTGACAGAAGATCTGGTTCTCTTGGGTTTGTGTTAACCCCTCCCAGGACAGTCTTGGCACAAAGCAGGGGCCCGGTGGTGGACCTGAGGCTGAGGGACCAGGTGGTGGACCTGGGGCTGAGGGACCAGGTGGTGGACCTGGGGTTGAGGGGCCAGGTGGTGGACCTGGGGTTGAGGGGCCAGGTGGTGGACCTGAGGCTGAGGGGCCAGGTGGTGGACCTGGGGTTGAGGGGCCAGATGGTGGATCTGGGGTTGAGGGACAAGGTGGTGGACCTGGGGCTGAGGGACCAGGTGGTGGATCTGGGGCTGAGGGACCAGGTGGTGGACCTGGGGCTGAGGGACCAGGTGGTGGACCTGGGGTTGAGGGGCCAGGTGGTGGATCTGGGGTTGAGGGACCAGGTGGTGGACCTGGGGCTGAGGGACCAGGTGGTGGATCTGGGGTTGAGGGACCAGGTGGTGGACCTGGGGTTGAGGGACCAGGTGGTGGACCTGGGGCTGAGGGACCAGGTGGTGGACCTGGGGTTGAGGGACCAGGTGGTGGACCTGGGGCTGAGGGACCAGGTGGTGGACCTGGGGCTGAGGGACCAGGTGGTGGACCTGGGGCTGAGGGACCAGGTGGTGGACCTGGGGCTGAGGGACCAGGTGGTGGACCTGGGGCTGAGGGACCAGGTGGTGGACCTGGGGCTGAGGGACCAGGTGGTGAATCTGGGGTTGAGGGGCCAGGTGGTGGACCAGGAGCTGAGGGACCAGGTGGTGGACCTGGGATTGAGGGACCAGGTGGTAGACCTGGGGTTGAGGGGCCAGGTGGTGGACCTGGGGCTGAGGGACCAGGTGGTGGACCTGGGGTTGAGGGACCAGGTGGTGGATCAGGAGCTGAGGGACCAGGTGGTGGACCTGGGGCTGAGGGGCCAGGTGGTGGATCTGGGGCTGAGGGACCAGGTGGTGGATCTGTGGTTGAGGGACCAGGTGGTGGACCTGGGGTTGAGGGGCCAGGTGGTGGACCTGGGGCTGAGGGACCAGGTGGTGGATCAGGAGCTGAGGGACCAGGTGGTGGACCTGGGGCTGAGGGACCAGGTGGTGGACCTGGGGCTGAGGGACCAGGTGGTGGATCAGGAGCTGAGGGACCAGGTGGTGGACCTGGGGCTGCGGGACCCGGTGGTGGACCTGGGGCTGAAGGACCAGGTGGTGGACCTGGGGTTGAGGGACCAGGTGGTGGACCTGGGGCTGAGGGACCAGGTGGTGGACCAGGAGCTGAGGGACCAGGTGGTGGACCTGGGGCTGAGGGGCCAGGTGGTGGATCTGGGGCTGAGGGACCAGGTGGTGGATCTGTGGTTGAGGGACCAGGTGGTGGATCTGGGGCTGAGGGACCAGGTGGTGGATCTGTGGTTGAGGGACCAGGTGGTGAATCTGGGGCTGCGGGACCCGGTGGTGGACCTGGGGTTGAGGGGCCAGGTGGTGGATCTGGGGCTGAGGGACCAGGTGGTGGATCAGGGGCTGAGGGACCAGGTGGTGGACCTGGGGTTGAGGGGCCAGGTGGTGGACCTGGGGTTGAGGGACCAGGTGGTGGACCTGGGGTTGAAGGACCAGGTGGTGGACCTGGGGTTGAGGGGCCAGGTGGTGGACCTGGAGCTGAGGGACCAGGTGGTGGACCTGGGGCTGAGGGACCAGGTGGTGAACCTGGGGCTGAGGGACCAGGTGGTGGACCTGGGGTTGAGGGGCCAGGTGGTGGATCTGGGGTTGAGGGACCAGGTGGTGGACCTGGGGCTGAGGGACCAGGTGGTGGATCTGGGGTTGAGGGACCAGGTGGTGGACCTGGGGTTGAGGGACCAGGTGGTGGACCTGGGGCTGAGGGACCAGGTGGTGGACCTGGGGTTGAGGGACCAGGTGGTGGACCTGGGGCTGAGGGACCAGGTGGTGGACCAGGAGCTGAGGGACCAGGTGGTGGACCTGGGGCTGATGGACCAGGTGGTGGACCTGGGGTTGAGGGACCAGGTGGTGGACCTGGGATTGAGGGACCAGGTGGTAGACCTGGGGTTGAGGGGCCAGGTGGTGGACCTGGGGCTGAGGGACCAGGTGGTGGACCTGGGGTTGAGGGACCAGGTGGTGGATCAGGAGCTGAGGGACCAGGTGGTGGACCTGGGGCTGAGGGGCCAGGTGGTGGATCTGGGGCTGAGGGACCAGGTGGTGGATCTGTGGTTGAGGGACCAGGTCGTGGACCTGGGGTTGAGGGGCCAGGTGGTGGACCTGGGGCTGAGGGACCAGGTGGTGGATCAGGAGCTGAGGGACCAGGTGGTGGACCTGGGGCTGAGGGACCAGGTGGTGGACCAGGAGCTGAGGGACCAGGTGGTGGACCTGGGGCTGAGGGGCCAGGTGGTGGATCTGGGGCTGAGGGACCAGGTGGTGGATCTGTGGTTGAGGGACCAGGTGGTGGATCTGGGGCTGAGGGACCAGGTGGTGGATCTGTGGTTGAGGGACCAGGTGGTGAATCTGGGGCTGCGGGACCCGGTGGTGGACCTGGGGTTGAGGGGCCAGGTGGTGGACCTGGGGCTGAGGGACCAGGTTTTGGACCTGGGGTTGAGGGACCAGGTGGTGGACCTGGGGTTGAGGGGCCAGGTGGTGGACCTGGAGCTGAGGGACCAGGTGGTGGACCTGGGGCTGAGGGACCAGGTGGTGAATCTGGGGCTGAAGGACCAGGTGGTGGATCAGGGGCTGAGGGACCAGGTGGTGGACCTGGGGTTGAGGGGCCAGGTGGTGGACCTGGGGTTGAGGGACCAGGTGGTGGACCTGGGGTTGAGGGACCAGGTGGTGGACCTGGGGTTGAGGGGCCAGGTGGTGGACCTGGAGCTGAGGGACCAGGTGGTGGACCTGGGGCTGAGGGACCAGGTGGTGAATCTGGGGCTGAAGGACCAGGTGGTGGATCAGGGGCTGAGGGACCAGGTGGTGGACCTGGGGTTGAGGGACCAGGTGGTGGACCTGGGGTTGAGGGACCAGGTGGTGGACCTGGGGTTGAGGGACCAGGTGGTGGACCTGGGGTTGAGGGGCCAGGTGGTGGACCTGGAGCTGAGGGACCAGGTGGTGGACCTGGGGCTGAGGGACCAGGTGGTGAATCTGGGGCTGAAGGACCAGGTGGTGGATCAGGGGCTGAGGGACCAGGTGGTGGACCTGGGGTTGAGGGACCAGGTGGTGGACCAGGAGCTGAGGGACCAGGTGGTGGACCTGGGGCTGAGGGGCCAGGTGGTGGACCTGGGGCTGAGGGACCAGGTGGTGGACCTGGGGCTGAGGGACCAGGTGGTGGATCTGTGGTTGAGGGACCAGGTGGTGGACCTGGGGTTGAGGGGCCAGGTGGTGGATCTGGGGCTGAGGGACCAGGTGGTGGATCTGTGGTTGAGGGACCAGGTGGTGGACCTGGGGTTGAGGGGCCAGGTGGTGGACCTGGGGCTGAGGGACCAGGTGGTGGATCAGGAGCTGAGGGACAAGGTAGTGGACCTGGGGCTGAAGGACCAGGTGGTGGACCAGGAGCTGAGGGACCAGGTGGTGGACCTGGGGCTGAGGGGCCAGGTGGTGGATCTGGGGCTGAGGGACCAGGTGGTGGATCTGTGGTTGAGGGACCAGGTGGTGGATCTGGGGCTGAGGGACCAGGTGGTGGATCTGTGGTTGAGGGACCAGGTGGTGAATCTGGGGCTGCGGGACCCGGTGGTGGACCTGGGGTTGAGGGGCCAGGTGGTGGACCTGGGGCTGAGGGACCAGGTGGTGGACCTGGGGTTGAGGGACCAGGTGGTGGACCTGGGGTTGAGGGGCCAGGTGGTGGACCTGGAGCTGAGGGACCAGGTGGTGGACCTGGGGCTGAGGGACCAGGTGGTGAATCTGGGGCTGAAGGACCAGGTGGTGGATCAGGGGCTGAGGGACCAGGTGGTGGACCTGGGGTTGAGGGGCCAGGTGGTGGACCTGGGGTTGAGGGACCAGGTGGTGGACCTGGGGTTGAGGGACCAGGTGGTGGACCTGGGGTTGAGGGGCCAGGTGGTGGACCTGGAGCTGAGGGACCAGGTGGTGGACCTGGGGCTGAGGGACCAGGTGGTGGACCTGGGGCTGAGGGACCAGGTGGTGGACCTGGGGTTGAGGGGTCAGGTGGTGGATCTGGGGTTGAGGGACCAGGTGGTGGACCTGGGGCTGAGGGACCAGGTGGTGGATCTGGGGTTGAGGGACCAGGTGGTGGACCTGGGGCTGAGGGACCAGGTGGTGGACCTGGGGCTGAGGGACCAGGTGGTGGACCTGGGGTTGAGGGACCAGGTGGTGGACCTGGGGCTGAGGGACCAGGTGGTGGACCAGGAGCTGAGGGACCAGGTGGTGGACCTGGGGCTGAGGGACCAGGTGGTGGACCAGGAGCTGAGGGACCAGGTGGTGGACCTGGGGCTGATGGACCAGGTGGTGGACCTGGGTTGAGGGACCAGGTGGTGGACCTGGGATTGAGGGACCAGGTGGTAGACCTGGGGTTGAGGGGCCAGGTGGTGGACCTGGGGCTGAGGGACCAGGTGGTGGACCTGGGGTTGAGGGACCAGGTGGTGGATCAGGAGCTGAGGGACCAGGTGGTGGACCTGGGGCTGAGGGGCCAGGTGGTGGATCTGGGGCTGAGGGACCAGGTGGTGGATCTGTGGTTGAGGGACCAGGTGGTGAATCTGGGGCTGCGGGACCCGGTGGTGGACCTGGGGTTGAGGGGCCAGGTGGTGGACCTGGTGCTGAGGGACCAGGTGGTGGACCGGGGTTGAGGGACCAGGTGGTGGACCTGGGGTTGAGGGGCCAGGTGGTGGACCTGGAGCTGAGGGACCAGGTGGTGGACCTGGGGCTGAGGGACCAGGTGGTGAATCTGGGGCTGAAGGACCAGGTGGTGGATCAGGGGCTGAGGGACCAGGTGGTGGACCTGGGGTTGAGGGGCCAGGTGGTGGACCTGGGGTTGAGGGACCAGGTGGTGGACCTGGGGCTGAGGGACCAGGTGGTGGACCTGGGGTTGAGGGACCAGGTGGTGGATCAGGAGCTGAGGGAACAGGTGGTGGACCTGGGGCTGAGGGGCCAGGTGGTGGATCTGGGGCTGAGGGACCAGGTGGTGGATCTGTGGTTGAGGGACCAGGTGGTGGACCTGGGGTTGAGGGGCCAGGTGGTGGACCTGGGGCTGAGGGACCAGGTGGTGGATCAGGAGCTGAGGGACCAGGTGGTGGACCTGGGGCTGAGGGACCAGGTGGTGGACCAGGAGCTGAGGGACCAGGTGGTGGACCTGGGGCTGAGGGGCCAGGTGGTGGATCTGGGGCTGAGGGACCAGGTGGTGGATCTGTGGTTGAGGGACCAGGTGGTGGATCTGGGGCTGAGGGACCAGGTGGTGGATCTGTGGTTGAGGGACCAGGTGGTGAATCTGGGGCTGCGGGACCCGGTGGTGGACCTGGGGTTGAGGGGCCAGGTGGTGGACCTGGGGCTGAGGGACCAGGTGGTGGACCTGGGGTTGAGGGACCAGGTGGTGGACCTGGGGTTGAGGGGCCAGGTGGTGGACCTGGAGCTGTGGGACCAGGTGGTGGACCTGGGGCTGAGGGACCAGGTGGTGAATCTGGGGCTGAAGGACCAGGTGGTGGATCAGGGGCTGAGGGACCAGGTGGTGGACCTGGGGTTGAGGGGCCAGGTGGTGGACCTGGGGTTGAGGGACCAGGTGGTGGACCTGGGGTTGAGGGACCAGGTGGTGGACCTGGGGTTGAGGGGCCAGGTGGTGGACCTGGAGCTGAGGGACCAGGTGGTGGACCTGGGGCTGAGGGACCAGGTGGTGAATCTGGCTGAAGGACCAGGTGGTGGATCAGGGGCTGAGGGACCAGGTGGTGGACCTGGGGTTGAGGGACCAGGTGGTGGACCTGGGGTTGAGGGACCAGGTGGTGGACCTGGGGTTGAGGGGCCAGGTGGTGGACCTGGAGCTGAGGGACCAGGTGGTGGACCTGGGGCTGAGGGACCAGGTGGTGAATCTGGGGCTGAAGGACGAGGTGGTGGATCAGGGGCTGAGGGACCAGGTGGTGGACCTGGGGTTGAGGGACCAGGTGGTGGACCTGGGGTTGAGGGACCAGGTCGTGGACCTGGGGCTGAGGGACCAGGTGGTGGATCTGTGGTTGAGGGACCAGGTGGTGGACCTGGGGTTGAGGGACCAGGTGGTGGACCTGGGGTTGAGGGACCAGGTGGTGGACCTGGAGCTGAGGGACCAGGTGGTGGACCTGGGGCTGAGGGACCAGGTGGTGGATCTGGGGCTGAGGGACCAGGTGGTGGATCAGGGGCTGAGGGACCAGGTGGTGGATCTGGGCCTGAGGGACCAGGTGGTGGATCAGGAGCTGATGGACCAGGTGGTGGACCTGGGGCTGAGGGACCAGGTGGAGAGAGAGAAAGGAAGAAAGAAAGAAAGAAAGAAAGAAAGAAAGAAAGAAAGAAAGAAAGAAAGCAAGAAAGAAAGAAAGAAAGAAAGAAAGAAAGAAAAGAAGGAAGGAAGGGAGGAGGGAAGAAAGAGAAAGAAAACAGCTTGTCATCATCATAATTGAACTGAGTATCAATTATTACAGATATAAGCTTGCTGAAGGCTTTGAGTGAAGTTCATTCTTTCTGTGTCAAAAAAATAGACATGAGAAGGCTTAAAGAGGTACTGTAGCACAAACCTGACACCTGCCCTAGGGCAGTTTAGAAGTATGGAAAGAGAATTAAAGAAGCAATAATTTAAGTTATCAGAGTCCCGGCAATGTACCTTAGCCCAATATCCCCTCAAATTACAATCCTGGTGTTCACCTCCATCTGGGAGCAATGGAAAGCCTGGTGTCTCCCATCTAGCTTTGGGAACCCCCATCACTACTCTGCTACCAGCTCCCTGATTTCTGGAGCCACAAGTACCCCTCAAGATGAGCTGACCGAGGCGGTGGGGGTGGGGTCCCCAAAAGGGCTTCCTTCCATGAGATCGGCTTCATGATGGGCCGAAAGAGCATGGAGCGGAGGACAGGCCATGGTGGCCGTCAATAGAGACTGTCAGAGGGATATTCCACAAACCATTGATCTGTGGGTTTGATGAAAGACTCCCAAGATCCTTTGTTCTAAGTTTCTGCATCGTTTATCTCTTCTTCCTAACCCTCTCCTGGTTCAGCTGAAGAGGGATACAGGTGCCGTTTGCCTTGGGTAGCTTGCCTACTTCCTGTTGCAGAACCATCATCTTCTCTTAGGCCACAATGTGATAAAGGCTATTCAAAGAGAAAACTGTCTTGTGTACCAGAAGTCTCTAAAGTGAACAGAATAGTTTGTACATTGGATTTACTGTTAGGGATGGTGATATAACTCAGTAGTAGAGTACTTACCTGGCATGTTTGAGACCCTAGGCTCAACTCCCAGCACCTCCAAAATGAATGTACTCAGTCAAATAATTGTTGGATGGATAGTTAGATAGAATTAACAACCAATGAATAACTAGTCAGCATTTAACAGCAAGATGGCTGTGCACCAAATGGTCCTTAGTCAAAGCCAGTGAGTCATTATCCTGTGCATTTAATTAGGAAATATCTGCAGTAGGGCAGGGAGTCCAGTGGAGCAAAGACCTTAAACTAATGCAAAAATGAAATTCTTCCAGTTGGGGCTTAGAAAAGGGGGTGAGTCTATTTTCGAGGTGTATATGGGATACATGGAGATAAAGTTACTCACTAAAATACTTTCTGATGCCCCAAACGAAACCACTAGCTAAAAGTAAGTTATCGATTGCTACTAATCTCAGAAGAGGTGTGTTACTGGAAATGGGGGACAGCCACAGGAGAGAGTATCCTTATATTTAGAGTGATTTTATTTTCCAGCCTCAGCCATGCGGACAGGCCACTTAGCCGAGCTGCAGAAGCTTGACCTGAGCTACAACAACAGCGTCTGTGACACCGGATGGGCCATCTTCTGCCAAAACCTCTGCTTCCTTAAAAAGCTAACTGAACTAGACATCAGCCTTGGGCCATCGAGTTCCCGGGGTTGTGGACAATGGTTTAGGCACTTACTATGTGCTGTGACCAAACTTCCTGTGGTCACTGAGATAGGGATGAGAAGATGGGCTGTCCCAGCCTCACAGGAAGAAGAACTAGAATGCTGCTTTACCCATGACCATGGAAGGGGCATTCAGTTTGACCATGGTGGGTTTCAGTGGGCTGCTCCGTAAGGAATGAACACTTCTCCAATGGAGCAAACAAATGTGTATGAATTGTGGGGGACCAGCCCCCACATTTATTTACTCCAGGAACTCTTGAGGAATGAGGGGTAAGAGACTTAGTTAGAAATAGAGGGGGAGAAAAACAGAGAGAGAACACAGGATAGCCTCAGGTGGACCTGAATCCTTATCCACCAGCGCAGAGCTTTATTCCAAAGGTCTATTTATAACAATGCCAAGGAGTGGAGCAAGAGACCTCCCCCTTGCTAGTTAGACCCTTACAAACACCTGGTACCCAGGCCCATGGTCCAATCAACCTCCCATGCAGTCCTGCTGAGTACAGCCACTAGGAAAACTAGTGGGCTACAATAGGTTCCTCTTCTTTCTATTTTAAAAGAAAAAAGCTCTTGATGCAACTGCATCAAACTTAACATAATAATTCTAACATAAACAGAACTATACAAAATTATAATTACTATTCTCAACCTTCCTACGAACCTACAAACCTACATTCAAGAACAATTTCTTAATAGAACTATACAAAACATAACATTAATTCACTCACACACACACACATACACACACACACACACATACCTGCACATGTACACACATATACACAAATACACCTGTATAAGCACACACCTGTACACATATACACCTGTATATGCACACACATACACATATACACACACAAAATAATAATAATAATAATGTGTGTCTTTAGTATATCTTACAAAACAAAGATGATGTTTTAGAGCAGAATTTTCATTTGTTTGGGATAAATAATTAATCCATCTACTATGGAATCCCACTAAAGATGTTCATATTTTGGTAATGCATCTGATTTATTTATCATTCGGAGATTTTCTGCCTTGTTTCCCTATATGTTACATGTGTTCCACAAAGGTGTATGTGTGTACACACATGTCTATGTATACAATTCTACTGTGAAAAACACTAACTGTAACGTTCTTATATTATCTTTTTTGCATGTGTATGTATGTGTGTGGTGTGTGTGCATGTGTGTATAAGTGTTCACATGTGTGTTGGTGTATGTATGTGTGTGAGTGTGTCTGCATATGGAGGCCCAAAGATGCTCTCAGATGTCTTCTCTGCCTCTCCATTTCATTTACTGAGGCAATGTCTCTCGCTGAACCCAGCCTGTCCAATCAGCCAGTTTGCCAGGGATTAGCCAGGGATTCCTTGTCTCTGCTTCCAAGGCTGCTACATGTGCCTGGATTTTATGTGGGCTCTGGGGGTCCACACTCTGGTTCCCATGCTCGCACAGGAAGTGCTTTATGCACTGAGCCTTCCCTCCAGTACTCCGTTGACTATCATTGTAAACTAAGATTTGTCCTGTTATAGTTTTTTGCTTAGATATAAACTGTCTGCAATAACAATGACACCATATGTAAGTTGTTTTTGTTTTTATTTGTTTTATGTAGCCAATAATTTAAAAGACTGTGTCAAAATCGCATTTTCTAAAATAAAATAAACTTTTTATGGCCAGAACAAACAAATTCCAATAAACATTTCCTCTGGAAATTTCTTGCTTTTTGTCTGTTAATGAAAGCTTTTGTGTTACACTACACAAGTTTTAAACGTTTTCATTTCCTAGAAGGTAATTCAATGCATAGCTAGGATGTTTGCTATACATTTGTTTTCTGATACGTGCAGGTAAACTTTGTTTTTTTTTCCCTACATGATACTATATGAATAATTAGAAGCACAGCCATTGATTGCTTAAAGATGTATAAGTGCAAAACCCCTGTGATGGCTCAGCTTGTAAAAGTTCTTGACAATCTTAGTTCAATCCCCAAGACCCACATGAAGCAAGTTGTCATCTGGTCTCCACACATGTACCATAGCATGCACGTGCCTCCTCCAATAATACATTTTAAAATATGATAAAGTTACATTTAAAATCAGTACTGTTCAAAAAGCAAAATCAAGAGGATGAGGTGGTTTTGAGAGCATTAGAAGGGGGTGCTCTGTGGATTCCTTTCTCTTGAGTGTCCCCCATGAATTCATAAGCATCTATGTTTATGTGAAGACCTATGTGTGAATATTCACTGAAGTTTTATTCATAATCAATAACCTTTCAATAACAAGTGAATGTTTAAACAGATGGCAAGACTGGGCCACATGCCCAGCAACAAGGGGCATGAGCTGACCAGACCCACTGAACCGGTGAGCTTCCGGTTAAGCAAAAGACTCTGTCTCAAGGCAATGAGTCAGAGAGTCATAGAGGAGGACACCCAATGTCCTACTCTGGCCTTTGAATGTGTGATCATGGGCCCAAGCACCTGCACACTCATGTGCATGCAAAGAGGAATCAACTACTGACAGATGCAACAAGCCAGTCCCAGGGGGTTCTCTAGCCCTGGGCCAGAGACAGCAACAGCAACAGCTCCGCACCACGCCATGTGGCTGGTGGAAGTAGAACTCAACCAAGCACAGAGGCACCCGACAGTCGGACACCATTGCAGTGAGCGAGCACAAGGTGGGGATGTGGAAGAGAGAGAGGTGGAGCTGTTCGTGGGCTAGGGAGAGAGGCGAATCTGAAGAGGTGAGGGTGTGAGGAACACGCTTGTTGTGGGATATTCCTTTACACTGTGTGAAGATGTGTCGTTGTGATTGGTTCAATAAAAAGCAAAATGGCCAATAGCTGGCAGGAGATATAGGTGAGACTTCTGGACAGAGAGAGCTCTGGGAAGAAGAAAGGTGGAGTCGCCAGCCAGATGCAGAGGAAGCAAGACTTGCAAGAGGAGAGGTAAAAGCCACTGGGCACATGGCAACATGTAGCTGAATAGACATGGGTTAATTTAAGTTATAAGAACTAGTTGGAAACAAGCCTAAGCTATAGGTCGAGCTTTCATAATTGATAAGTCTCTGTGTTGCTTTTTGTGAGTTGATAACCCAAAGAAAAATTTATTTACAAATGCTAATGTAAATGGCTTGCTTACTACCCAAGTCCAAGGTGAAGTCTGGGCCTGGGCTATTGCCAAGAGCCAATCTTGGTCTGAGGCCCTGAAGCAACTGAGGGGGCCTGAGTTGATGTCTGCCGCCACTGAGGGATGTGCAGAGTCCTGCAGTCTGGGCCACCCCCTGGGGCCATGTTGGTGTCTAAGAGCCATGCTGCCTCATGGAGCCATGCTGATCTGAGCGGCCTGCACAACCACATGGGGACATGATGACATCTAGGCCCAGGCTGCTGCCACGGACCATGTCTGGATCTGTGGTCCTACCACAGCCAGGATCTGTATTAATGTTTGGTGGCCTATGTTGCCACCAAAGGCCACATGGATGCCCAGAGTCTAGGCCACAACCTGTGACCATGTTGGTGTCTGAGGGTTGTGTCACTGCTGGGGCCATGCCAATTTGAGTGGCCAGCACTGTCACCTGGGGCCATGGTGTCATCCAGGCCAGGGCTGCTGCAGAGGACCATGTCTGGGTTCATGGTCCTGCTACAGCTTGGTCTGTGTTGATGTCCATGGCCTGTGTTACCATGGGGGATAAGGAACCATGCTGTGTTCAAAGAGGGCCCTGCTGAGCTGGCCCTGCCCCTCACTGCCCCTGCCCCTTGCTGGATACTGCAGCAGGAGAGCTGGACCCCACAATCAGGAAAGATGGCCCCACCCCTCACAATGGTGTGTACCTCACCTGGGCAGCACACTAGAGCTGGGTCATAGGTGTGCCAGCCCTGAGGGCATGAGAGCAGCAGAGATGACCCCACCCCCCTTGTCTGCCATGTGGTGGCATGGATGAGGGAAAGATGGCCCATCCTTTATTACCCTCAGCAGGTGAGAGGGCTGGCCCCAGGATCGCGAGAGTTGGAGAACTAGCCCGACCCTCACCAGCTGCAGCACACAGGAGAATGGACCCTGCACCCCACCAGGGCAGCACACTAGAGCTGACCCTGTTGGTGGTGGCGCAAGTGAGCAAGCCCTGAGAGCAGGAGAGCTGACCCTACCGCCCCTCCCCCCACCCCCCTCTACAGCAATCCTTGGGAGAGAGGGCCCTCCACCTTGCTTGGGAAAAGACAGTGGAGCTGGCCTTGAGTCTGGGTGAACTGAATCTGAGGGCCTGAGAGCAGGCGAACGGGCCCCGCCCCTTGCTGTAGGCTGCCTTGGGTGGCCTGGCTGAGGTAGTGCTGGAGAGCTCACCTGGGTGGTGACGATGAGGGAGAGCTGCTGGCGGGCTGACCAGCCCAGCTACCACCCAATCCAGAACCAGGGCTGAGTTGACCCATCTCAACATCCCCCTCTTCTATGAACTGTTAGAGCTTGAGAAGAAAACAAACCTACAGATCCAAAACTGCAGGATCTCTGTGACAAAGGACAACAGGATGTCCAAGAGGAGCCCCAGGAAAGTCCATTATCCACGGTGTAGCAGGGGCCAGAGACCTCGAACCAGACCAACGACTCTTGGCCGTGAACACTTGGAAGTGAGGATGAAAGGACTAAGGGGTGAACTGTGTGACATTCGGGGTCACACCACAGCTTCCACGACGAGATTCTTCTCCTTTTTGTTTTGTTTGATTTGTTTGGTTTTGGTTTTTCTTTTAAATTTTGTTTTGTTTTGAGGGGAGGTTGCAAGGGCAGAGGATGAATTCAGAGGGATTGAGAGATGGGTGGGATCGGATAAATGATATGAAATCTGCAAGGAATCAATAAAAGTTTGATGAATTAAAAAAAAAAAGTCAGTCCCAGGGCCAGTGAAATAAAGGCATTTGTCATGAGGCTTGTTGATCTGAGTGTGATCACAAGACCCACATGGTGGACAGAGAGAAATGAAGTGACCTCCTTCTGTGTGCTGAGGCAGACTCGTTTACACACACACACACACACACACACACACACACACACACACACACAGAGAGAGAGAGAGAGAGAGAGAGAGAGAGAGAGAGAGAGAGAGAGAGAGAGAAAATAAAAATAATGAAAAGTTTGAAGGAAGTTGCAGGTCCCTATCATTTGATGGGAAATGGAGGGTAAGCTAGGATTTGGTACACAGAGAGACGTGTGAATACAAAAGAATGTCACAATGGAGACTTGTGAAGAGCAGCCTGTGCCTTTGACTACAGCGGTGTTTGTACAAAGCTATGTGTGACACGATTGCCTTGAACTACACAATGCACACACACGTGCACACGTGCACATATAACTGATGGAATCTGAGCGAGTGCTGTTGATTGAACCGATGTGTTTTTTAGTCTTATTTTCAAACTAGTGTTGTGCAAAGCTGTCACAGGTCGGGGGTGATTAGACATGCTTGTATATTTCCCTGGAACTTCCTGTAAATCTGTGATTCCCCCAGATGTTTTTAAGTAGACAAGAGAACGCAGGGACCGCCACATGCTCCTCGCCCACTTCTGCAGTTGTTAATTCACAGCGGGTCCTGCCTTGCTTCATCCGAACCCATGTCCCCATATCTATCCTCTAGCATGCTATGTTGAAGCAGTTACCAGGCATTATGTCATTCTTCCCATGAACATTGCAGTAAAATTAAGCCTCTTTTGTTATTACAGTAACCTGAATTGGGTGGATTTTAGTGTGGCTGTTGTCTGGTCCCTAGACACGTTGCCTTTCTGTTCTGTTAGTGATCCTTATCGTCATTCATTCATTTACACAATTATTTTTTATTTCCTTTTGCAGGTTTTCCTTTTGCAGCCTTTTTGCCTTTCTTATCTTTTGGAGAGTTTTTTCCTTTTTTTCTGGCTTTTAGTAGCTCTTCGAAAGACCCAAATCCTTTCCGCACCATGGTTCCACGCCACCACGCCTGAATCTGAAAACAAGATAGACCCAAACTCAGTGTTAGCTTGAATCATGATTACTATTCTCTTACTGTGGCTTACTTCCCTCAAAACATGTTGAAGGGTTGGGGTGACACAGTGGATAAGAGCATTTGCTGTGCAAGTATGAGAACCTGAGTTCAAATCTCCAGCTCCTGATTTGTAATATGCCTGTAACTCCAGCACTGTGCAGTGGAAGCAGGCAGATTCCAAGAGCGTACTGGCTAGCTAGTCTAGATGAAATGGTATCCTTCAGTTGGGCAAGAGACCTTGTCTCAAGGCCATTGGGTAGAGAGCTGTGGATTCTGAAGGCCATATGCAGTAGTGGGAAGGGCACTAAGTGTATGACTGCACGCTTGAGGTGGAGCTCGCTGGTAAAGTCTTGCCCAAGCATGCATGAAGTCCTAGGTCTGATACCCAATACCACATAAATTGGTTTGGTGGCCCATGCCTGAAATCACAGCACTTGGGAGATAGACGCAAGAGAATCAGAAGTTCAAGGATACCCCTGACTTTATATTGAGTGGGCTGCATGAGACCCTGCCTTAAATAAGTAAAAGTATGAGTTCACAAATGATAAGGACAATGGGGAATGGCAGCAATGGAGAGCTGAGAAATCTTGTGTACGCATCTGCCTCCCTCTTGCTGAAGGATTGTCTTGGCTTCTACTAAAACC